GGATGAACAGGGCCAGGAGCAGGAGGAACAGTGAAAAAGAACAGGACCAGGAGCAAGAGCACAGGCAGAATAATGGCATTGAGGGAAGATGCGGACGGCATGATGATGACGGGTCGCACTCAGCATCAACTTCAACATGTTCACGATCGTCAACCGCATCAACGCCATCGTCAATCCCATCCCAAAACATAATCATCACCACCACCATCATCATCACCAGCATCATCATCACCATCATCACCACCATCCTCAGCAACAACCTCAACATAATCAGTAGCATCATCACCATAAGCATCAGCATCAACCTCAGTAGTATCATCATCACCATCATCATCATTATTATCATCATCAACTTCACCCGCACTGCCGGACAAAATCGACTCACAGAAATCCAGCGCTACCGACAGACAGCCAAATAATGGAATGTAAAGCAAACAAGCGCCAACCAATTCGAAGCACATCGATTTCAAGCAATGCAACGCACACATGCCAAGCAATGATAGATATCACTGAGAAGCGAACATGTAAACTCACATGCGACACGCTCAGGCCCGATTGCCCAACCTGAATACTGCAAAGCAGAGCCAAGCAACGCCAGGCAACGCCAAGCATAGCCAAGCAATGCCAAGCAGTTCCAAGCAATGCGCAGCAACACCAAGAGTGCACAGCGACTCCAAGCATGGCAAAGCAATGCAAAGTAACACAATGGCTGACAATGCTTAATCTTGTTTCTTTTCTGCCCGTCTCGCGCGGACTCAAATGGCAAGGTTGTGTGTGCCACGCGCGAGTCTTCCAAGGTAGACAGCATCACCTCGTAACCATGCCGTCACGTCACGAGACAAGCTAGTAAAAGACACGCTCGGGCCTGGTTGCCCAAGGTCGAATGACAAGTGACACGCTCGGGTCTGCCTGCTCAGCCTGAGCTTACGAGTGACACGCTCGGGCCTGGCTGCCCAGCCTGACCTAACAAACGACGGCCCAAATAACACGCTCGGGTTGGATTGCCCGGAATAAGCTAACGAGTGACACGCTCGGGCCTGCTTGCACAACGTACGCTAACAAGTGACACGCTCGGGGATGCAAGCCCAACCTGAGCTAACAAGCGACACGCTCGGGCCCAGCTACTCAGGTCTGATTGCCCAGCCTAGTATAACACGTGGCACGCTCGAGCCTGCTTGCCCAGCGATAACGATGCCACGCTCCTCCCTTACTCACTTGCACCTTTCCTTGCTCACGGACTGGAGCTGCTGCTCAGCGCATCGCTCCCCGGCGGCCCCGGCGACACGCCATATGCCCTGCGACCGGCTGGCGTGTCGCTCCGCGCCGCGGGGCGGCGGGCCGGGAAAGGCTCGGGGCGTCGAGACCTCGGCACCGGGAGACGGACCACGCGTCGCCCGCCGAAGCGGCGATGCGCGACAGGCTGCCCGAAAGAGTTCCCGACGGCAGAGTTGCGCGCATCGCGACCCGCGAGGCGCGAAACTCTGCTCGCTGGGAGGAGCTCGGGGCGTCGAGGCCTCGGCACCGGGGAACGGACGACGCGTCGCCCGCCGGAGCGGCGATGCGCGACACGCTATGCCCGAGAGTTCCCGACGGCAGAACTTTTCGCGCCCTCGCAAACCCCGCGACGCGCGCGGCACGCGCGTGTACGTACCTCTTTCGCGCCCTCGCGCCGCCGCTCCGGAGGAGGGCGCCTCGCCAACGCTGGCCGCGAGGCGCGAAGCGCGCGATCCTCGTCGCGCCCCTGGACATTAGCGACCGCAGTTGCGTACAGAAAGCTTGCTCCCCAGTGGGGTCGCGCTGGACGCCAAGACAGGGAGAGAGAGAGAGAGAGAGAAAGAACAAGACAACAAGAGAGAGAGAGTGAGATATGGATATACGTAGAGAGAGAGAGAGGGGACGAGAAAGAGAAAGAAAGGGGGAAGATGCGAACGAGAAAAGAAGGCGGGATGATGGAGGACCCCCTGATCTCTAGCCGCCCAAGAGCACCCCTCGAATCTCTAGGCTCCCATGCGGCAGCTGGGCGGCCGGCCGTTCCCCGGGAGGGCGGTGCGCTGCTGGGCAGCCGCCCCCGCCGCCCTCCCTGCGCTGGCGCCGCCCCTCCGCCCTCCCCGTCTCGTCCTCCGTCGTTCCCGCCTCCGCCTGCCCCTGCTGGCACTCTTGCGCTGCCTCCCCCCTCGCTCCCCTTTCCCCCCCTGCGGTTCCTCCTCGCGCACCTCCTCGTCCTCGTCTCCTCCTTCTGCTCCGCCGCGTCCTCCTCGCCTCCTCCGCACCCAGCCTCGTGTCATCTCTCTCCCCCGCACCTCGACATCCACCAACACGTTCTTCTTATTATTCTTCTTACTCTACTTGCTTCCTCCTCCCATGTTGCCATCCTCTGCTCGTATCCTCCTCCTGCCCCGCCTTGCTCGCCATTTCTCCCCCGAACCTGCCTCCTCCTCCTCCGCCTCCTCCTCTCCTCCGCCTCTGCAGCTTTGTATATCCGTGTCTCCTCCTACTCCATTTCCCCCTCCGCCCTCCCCCCGCTCCCTCAGCGAGCAGAAAATGAAACATGGCAGCCTGCTTCTCGGTCGCGAAGCGCGCGGCGTTCTTGGCCGTCAGGTCGCAATCTCGGGCCAGGGAGGGCGGTTCCAGGCGACTGACGTGGCTAACAACGTACCTGAGTAGCAGAGCGAACGAGATCGATAATACTTCCAAATATGACAGCGTTCGTCGCAGAACGTGTCTGGTCTTCTGGGACTCCACGAAGGTGAGCGAGGAGAGCACCCTGTGGGGGCAACACCCGCCGACCAAACTCCACGGGCCCTCCCAGGCCCTCGGGCGCCAATCCAGACTTCGATACAGTGGATGCCAGTCCACAAGGAACCTTCCACAAGAAACCCAACCCTGAGACCCCAGGACGTCCATTGATTTTTGGTGTGGGAACGTCACGCTCTCCATAGCAAAACCATCGGAACCCAAGAAACCCAGGGCACCCTGGAGGCAAGCAAGGTGCTTCTTGGCATGGGCAACTCCACTGTACGACCCTTCAGAGGCCAACTGAAGTCGAGTGAAACCCATTCAGCCGGCCTTTCGAAGCCTCCACGATTATCTGGAGCTCCCCGGGGCCCCCGAGTCCTCCAAAGACTCCGGAGAGGACCCCTAAGGCCCATCACAGGAAGCCAAGACTGCCAAAATGCGTCGATCCTCGATCCGTTGTTGTTATCACATCTTCCACGGGAAGGAGATCGCAGAACAAATCGGTGACGCCACCGCCGCAAGTGGAGGAGGGCGGAGGGCGGGTGGGGCGACAGCCTCAGGTGTGCCATGCTCGGCAAGGCTCCGCCTGGGCTAGCACTGCAGGTCGCGACACTGCATGGACCGCGGGAGAAGGGGGAGGAGATGGAGACACAGCGGGGAAAGGAGTGAGGAACTGTCCATCGCTCGGACGTCCATTCCCTGTGCTTTTTTTGGTTTTGTGCGTGGCTTTTTCGCCCAACAAGGATGCTCCTCGATGGCCCTCTCCGAGGAACATGATGGACCCACGAACCCGGAAAGGGATATAGACATGTGCAGCATGGTCACGTTTTCACGATACCCAACTGGGCGACACCTCACGAAACATCCCACGAGACACCCCGCGAAACATCCCACGAGACACCTCACGAAACATTCCACGAGACACCTCACGAAACATTCCACGAGACACCCCGCGAAACATCCACGAGACACCTCACGAAACATTCCACGAGACACCTCACGAAACATTCCACGAGACACCCCGTGAAACATTCCACGAGACACCCCACGAACAGGCAACCACTCAACCAGACACCCCACGAAACATTCCACGGGGGTGCGACTGGGTGTGGTCGTGCTGGGGTGTGGCCGTGCTGGGGTGTGGTCGTGCTGGGGAGTGGTCGTGCTGGGGTGTGGTCGTGCTGGGGAGTGGTCGTGCTGGGGTGTGGTCGTGCTGGGGCGAAACATTTCACGAGACACCTCACGAAACATTCCACGAGACACCCCGTGAAACATTCCACGAGACACCCCACGAACAGGCAACACTCAACCAGACACCCCACGAAACATTCCACGGGGGTGCGACTGGGTGTGGTCGTGCTGGGGTGTGGTCGTGCTGGGGTGTGGTCGTGCTGGGAGTGGTCGTGCTGGGTGTGGTCGTGCTGGGGGGTGGTCGTGCTGGGGGGTGGTCGTGCTATGGGGTGGTCGTGCTGGGGCGTGGTCGTGCTGGGGCGTGGTCGTGCTGGGGCGTGGTCGTGCTGGGGTGTGGTCGTGCTGTGGTGAGGTCGTGCTGGGGTGTGGTCGTGCTGAAGTGTGGTCTTGCTGGGGTGGGGTCGTGCTGGGGTGTGGTCGTGCTGGGGTGTGGTCGTGCTGGGGTGTGGTCGTGCTGGGGTGGGGTCGTGCTGGGATGGGGTCGTGCTGGGGTGGGGGCGTGCTGGGGTGTGGTCGTGCTGGGGTGTGGTCGTGCTGGGGTGTGGTCGTGCTGGGGTGGGGTCGTGCATTTCGCTCGAGACATCCTGCCAAAATCCCAAGAGATCCTAGAAAAACAAACGAATTAGTCGAGACATCCTCGAAATTCCTGCGCGCGGGACGCGGCACGCGCGAGACATCCTCGGAATTCCTGCGCGCGGGGCGCTTTTCCGCGTCGCGGTCGGCTCAGCGAATCCAGCGTTCCGCTCGAGACATCCTCGGCAAACTCTGCGGAGCAAGCGTTTCGCTCGAGACATCCTCAACACACGAAAAAGTGGCCCGCACCCTGTGATTTATCGATCGGGATTTCAAAAACAAGCGTTTCGCTCGAGACATCCTCAAATTTTAATTCGCCGGCCTCCTTCGACCTCGTTATTTATCAGGGAAAAAATTCGCCGGCAATTCGCCGGCCTCCTTCAAGCAGGCACCGGGGGACAGGTTTACCTACTAAAAGAGAACCCTGGGCTCGAGCCCTTTCCAGGGAAAAAATGCACACGTTCGAGCGATGCCAAGGGGGGGGGGAGCGCGGGGAGCCCTTTCTGATGGCTCTGGGGCCCAAAAGGGCGGGCTCGGCGGCCGAGCCCGCGAGAGGGCGCCCGGCTTGCAGAGATCAGGCCCTCGCGCTGCCGGGGCTCGCGCTGCCCCTGGCTTACCAGCCTGAAACATATCCCTATCCCTATGCTTGCTTGGGCGCCCGAGTTATCCGGGGTAACTCGGGTCCGGGGTAACTCGGGTTTGGATTCCCGAACAACGAACCCGAGTTAGCCCTGACCCGAGTTACCCCTGATGATGTAGGGCTCTGGACGCCCGAATTATCCGGGGTAACTCGGGTCCGGGGTAAGTCGGTCTCGGATTCCCGAACATGATGGACCCACGAACCCGGAAAGGGATATAGACATGTGCAGCATGGTCACGTTTTCACGATACCCAACTGGGCGACACCTCACGAAACATCCCACGAGACACCCCGCGAAACATCCCACGAGACACCTCACGAAACATTCCACGAGACACCTCACGAAACATTCCACGAGACACCCCGCGAAACATCCCACGAGACACCTCACGAACATTCCACGAGACACCTCACGAACATTCCACAGACACCCCCGTGAAACATTCCACGAGACACCCCACGAACAGGCACCCACTGAACCAGACACCCCACGAAACATTCCACGGGGGTGCGACTGGGTGTGGGGTGTCGTGCTGGGGGTGTGGCCGTGCTGGGGTGTGGTCGTGCTGGGGAGTGGTCGTGCTGGGGTGTGGTCGTGCTGGGGCGAAACATTTCACGAGACACCTCACGAAACATTCCACGAGACACCCCGTGAAACATTCCACGAGACACCCCACGAACAGGCAACCACTCAACCAGACACCCCACGAAACATTCCACGGGGGTGCGACTGGGTGTGGTCGTGGGTGTGGTCGTGCTGGAGTATGGTCGTGTTGGGGTGTGGTCGTGCTGGGGTGTGGTCGTGCTGGGGGGTGGTCGTGCTGGGGGGTGGTCGTGCTGGTGGCTGGGGGGTGGTCGTGCTGGGGCGTGGTCGTGCTGGGGCGTGGTCGTGCTGGTCGTGCGTGGTCGTGCTGGGGTGTGGTCGTGCGTGTGGTGTGGTCGTGCTGGGGTGTGGTCGTGCTGGGGTGTGGTCGTGCTGGGGTGTGGTCGTGCTGGGGTGTGGTCGTGCTGGGGTGGGGTCGTGCTGGGATGGGGTCGTGCTGGGGTGGGGGCGTGCTGGGGTGTGGTCGTGCTGGGGTGTGGTCGTGCTGGGGTGTGGTCGTGCTGGGGTGGGGTCGTGCATTTCGCTCGAGACATCCTGCCAAAATCCCAAGAGATCCTAGAAAAACAAACGAATTAGTCGAGACATCCTCGAAATTCCTGCGCGCGGGACGCGGCACGCGCGAGACATCCTCGGAATTCCTGCGCGCGGGGCGCTTTTCCGCGTCGCGGTCGGCTCAGCGAACAAGCGTTCCGCTCGAGACATCCTCGGCAAACTCTGCGGAGCAAGCGTTTCGCTCGAGACATCCTCAACACACGAAAAAGTGGCCCGCACCCTGTGATTTATCGATCGGGATTTCAAAAACAAGCGTTTCGCTCGAGACATCCTCAAATTTTAATTCGCCGGCCTCCTTCGACCTCGTTATTTATCAGGGAAAAAATTCGCCGGCAATTCGCCGGCCTCCTTCAAGCAGGCACCGGGGGACAGGTTTACCTACTAAAAGAGAACCCTGGGCTCGAGCCCTTTCCGGGAAAAACTAACCCGAGTTAGCCCTGACCCGAGTTACCCCTGATGATTCGGGGCTCTGATATGCTGGGCATCTCCTATTCACGATGCCAATCTCAGGGATTTCCTTACTTCTTGAGGGCGAATGCCTAAGCTTGCCATCGCCTCTTGGCGCGTCAATCTTTAGGGATAGGGTTACGTTCGAGGCTGGTGACTGGCCCTCGCGCAGGCCTGGCTGGCCGCGGGCGCGGGCGCGGGCACCCGGCGGGCCCGCTCAGGCGGCGGCGTGCGCCCTCAGCCTGCGGGCGCCACCGCGCTTCTGGAGCAGCACGGCCTCGCCCTCCAGCACGTGCAGGGCGGACTTCAGGCCCGCCACCTCCGCGGCGCGGCGGCGCTGCATCTCCTCGTAGGGCTCCACCTTGCCGTCGCACTCGTCGTGCAGGCTCTTCAGCACCGACTGCACTGCCCCCAGCTCCTTCTGCACGCCGGACCGATCGGCCTTGGCCTCGGCCACCGCCTTGTCGAGGTCCAGCGCCTCCTGCGACTTGTACTTGACGTCCTGCGACTTCTGCGTCTTCTCGATGGCGTTCTCATTGCTCTCCGACTCGTACTCTGCCACCGCCTCCTCCTCGGCGGCGACCATCTCGGCGAGGCCCTTCGAGAGGTCGGACTCGATCACCTCCAGGAGCCCCAGGATGCCGGCGCCGGCCCCGTCCGCGGAGGAGTGGGCCTTGCCCTCGGAGGCGTAGTAGTCACCCAGGATCTTCAGCGCCAGCTTCACGCCCTCCAGGCCCTTCTCCATCTCTGGCTTGTTGCCGTCGTACAGCGCCTTCTCCTCCGCGCGGAGCCTGCTCATCTCCTGCTCGGATGCGGCCAGCGCTGCGAGCCCCTTCTGGAGCCCGGCCACCTCCTCTTTCAGCTTCTCCGACCCTGAGGTGGCCTCGTCGATCTTGCTTGTCATCTTGCCGATCTCGTCCTGCTTGTCCTCTTCCTTTTCCTCGTTGTCACCGAGCTGCCTGTCGCAGTACTCCTTATGCTTGACGTCGGCAGCGGCCTCCATCTCCAACGATTTTATCAGGTCTGAGATTAGGCTCTTGACCTTGGCGAAGATGTCGTCGCCCGTCTTCGAGCCGACCCGGATGGCGGAGGTCATTCGCATGGCAAGCTGCGCAAGAGCGGTTGAGTTCTGCTCCGTGGCAAGGCGGCGCACGAACCTGACGACCTGGACCCCCTGGGTCTCAGCGCGCCCTCCAGAGCGCCCTTGGGAGGCAACCTGCAGCAGCGAGTAGGTCTGGTCGGCGGCGCCAGCCGTCGTGTCCTGGAGGACCTTCTTGGCCTCCGCGAGGGCCTTCAGCTCCTCGCTTCGGCTCTTCGTCTCGGCCTCGAAGTCTTCCGCCTTCTCCATGCAGTCGGAGTGCAGTTGCGCCTTCGCCTCCTTGTCCGCCTGCAGGTCCTTGCTCGTTGCCGCGAGGTCGCCTTCGGCCTTGGCCTTGGAGCCAGTCGAGGTAGCGAGGCCTTTCTTGGCCTCCTCCATGTCCTGGCTCGAGAACTTCATCGCGTCATTCAGCGACTGCTCCAAAATTTCAAAGTTATTTTTCGACGTGGTCTCTGCCTTTCGGAGGCCGTCCAGCTGCTTCTCGGCCTTGTCCAACAAGTCCTGCAACGTGTCGATGATACCGCCGCTCTGGCCCTCGTAAACGCTAGCGTCGGGGGCACCATCATCCTCATCATCAGCATCCTCGTTCGCTTGCTGGGCCTGCCGCTGCTGCTGCAGCAGCCCGGTCAGCCTGCTGGCGTCCGTTGAGCTGATGACGGAGGCCTGGACCATGGCCGCCAGGGCCTGGGCGAGGCTGCCCGCGCTCTTCACCTGCACCAGGGACGCGCCACCCGCCTTATCCATCTCCCTCTCAAGGATGGCGATCGCGCGGGAGAGAGCGTCGACAACTTGCATGAGTTCCGCCTCCTCCGCGACGAAGTCTTTGCGCTCATTCTCTCGGACCTTGGTGGCGGCGTCGAGCTCGGCCTGGTCCGAAGCGATGCTGGTCGCGAGCTCCTCGATCTTCGTGCTGAAGGCCTCCATACTGGCGGCGTCCTTCTCGATTCGGGCCTTCAAATCCTGCATCTGGCCCTCCGAGGTCTTGATGCTGTTGGAGAGCTGCCTGGCTCGATCTTCGCACCACTCGGAGAATTCAGCGAAGACCTTGTGAGAGGCCTCGCCCTCTGAGATCACCTTCTGCTGTAGGCCACCAATCATCTCCAGCACCTTGCCGATAGGCGACACGTCTGCGGCTCCCGCAGGCACGCCCGCGGCGAGACACAAGAGGAGGCACGCGGCAAACGTCTTCATTGCGCGAGTAGGCGTGCAAGCAGCGCCACAAGCTCACATCTTGCCAGGACAGCCCAACCACGACCATGATCTGGACCCGGCCCCCCTGCCCGAAACTGTAGAGGAGTTTATTCTGCTGGTATCTGGCAACCTCCGCATCCGCTCCTGTGCCATCCACCCCCGTTCACCGCCACCTGCATGACGCTCTATACTCCTCCAGCCCTCCCCCTCCCCCCATCTATCCTTTAAGTCGGGCGTGTCTCCCTACAGGGGGATTTCGGGCGAAAAATCAAAGATACTCCAAAAATACCCCCCCAATATTCAAAAATTGTAAAAAAAAATCGTCCCCGGACTATGTTTGGACTATCTTTGAACATTCCCCCCGTAGAGGGACACGCCGGACTCACATCTGTCCTCCTCCTCCTGGCCAGTTCCCTCGGACGCCGCCTGCCACCCCTCCGCCCCATCCCCCCCCGCGTGTCCTCCTGGGCCCCCCGGGAGCCCTCCGCCGCTCCCCGAGGCTCCTGGGGCCCTCGGGTCGGGCGAAAGTAGGGGGAAAACGAACCTACCTCGCTTTTGACCACCCTCGCTTCCAAGAGATACCAAACGATGCCAAACTACGGCCTGCACTGGTCAGGCCGCTTGACGAGAAGGCGCGTGGTATGACTTGGTTTTGCCTGGAAGCGAAAGCGTGGTAGGTACTTCACGCTCTGAGAAAGGGGGGGATAGCAAAGGGGGGTTTTGAGGATCAGCTCGCGCAGCTGATTCTCCTGGCGCCTCCCGGCGCCGGGAGGCGGCCATGTCTCGAGGAATGGGCCCCTCGGTGGGGCCGAAGCCAGCTGCATGCAGCAGATTTCGACCCCCCCTATCCCAATCCCCCCCTTTCGTCCGGCCCGACCCTCCACCCGGGGCCTCGGGACCCCGCCGGACCTGCGCAGCTTCTCTGCTGGAACGGGCGGTCCGGGTCCTGGTACAGTCGGGCCGCTGAAAGAGGGAACGCTGGACAGGGGACGGAGCCCCTCCTTGGCCCCGTGAGCGCCTCCGCGCCCCATGGGAGGGCAAGAGGCACCGCACGGGAGGAACCTGAGGAGCACCGAGCCCCTCCCGAACCCAAGCTGTTCCTCATCTCAGCGTCTTGACTGTAGGGGGGATGGTCGAGGGCTCGGGACCCTGCGCTTTCTTCGACCCGGCAGCCATACCAGGATCTGGGCGCCCGCCCGTCTCGCCGGCGACGCTGTGCCCCTGTCGCCGGAGGCAGGGGGGCTCCCCATGCGTCCTCGGGGAGCCCCGCCTCTCGCGCGGGCCTCCCCCTCCCCTGCCCCCTCCACATCCCGCTTGCCTCCCGCTCGCCTGCTCCTTCCACTTCTCCTGCTGCCTCCTGCTCGCCTCCTGCTGCCTCCCTCTCCTTCCGCTTTCCCTCCTACTCGCCTCCTGTTGCCTCCTCCCGCCCGCCTCCTCCTGCCCGCCTTCTCCTGCTCGCCTTCTTCCTCCTCGCCTTCTTCCTCCTCGCCGTGGTTGGAGCTGCCTCGAGGGCGACGGCGGCTCGTTCGCCCGAGCCGAGGCTTCCCGAGGACCCCGCGATGGGCCCTCGGAGAGAGCTGTGGGGCCGCGAGCTGCCCCGTCGGTTTCAGGGGCAGCATCGATCCCTATGCACTACACGTCGGTCGGAAGAAGTGGGTAGAAACATGAAGTAGGAAGGCGGATAAAGTGGATTGGGTCCAGGCCCTCCCAGAGAATAACAAAACACAGCAACAGCAAGCCGATTCTTGAAGTAGGAAGGCGCTTGAAGTAGATTGGGATGTGGGAATCCAAAAATACCTACTTTCAACGACCGGCGTGTATGAGTTGCCCCGCATGGCCCGACAGGCCTTGACCCCTTAGGGTGGCGCCGCGGTCCAGATCGTGGTAGAGGGTGGGCGGTCCTTGCATCATCGCAACCGCAACGTCTTGAGCCAAAACTGGCTACGGCGAGGGTGGGAGAGAGGGGAGGGGGATGGAGAGGGGAGGAGAAGGGTTATATGTGTTTCGTGACCGTCCGTGAGCCATGACCATCTCTGTCAATGGCTCCAGGCCCCCTCCACGCGGATACGCGAGACAAGGACATCCAACATACCTGGAAACCAATTCTCCCCGACGCCAGCACTAACAAACAACTGCACTGCACAAGAGGGCGGCACGGACAAAAACTGCGCTGCACCATTTCTGGAATAAGCCCAGACAAAGGCCAAGACAGCAAGTGCAGAAACAAAAAATACACCAGACTACCAACATTTGACTTTTGCAGGAAATGGTGTCGTTCTCCTGACTTGCCAATGTCCAGGTTGGTCTTTGTCCTGGTCTCAGGAGGGGACGGAATGGCACGGCCCCCGCGATTACCGGAGCACCGCCACGCGGGCCCACGAGCGGACCGCATTTCGCCGGGTCCTTGGTGGACCAGAAAACAAGCGACACACCCCACCTGCGGCCCCACGTGGGTTTTTACGCGGTACACGCTACGGCCCTCGATGAGCCGTAGCGCAACATGGAAAGCCGCAGGTGGGGTGGTGCCGTTTGTTCTGTTAGTCGACTTGGCCCTGCCCCCGTCGCGGCGGCCAAGCGGAGCGGGGGCGTGGACATCCCGTGCGTCAGTGCCACTGCCGCGGCATCCTGCCAGCAGGTGCCGCCCCTGGCTCCAAGCGCCGGCCAGATCGAAAGCACCTGAGCCCACGCTGTGAAGATCCGGGGAGCAGAGGAAGAGGAGGAGGAAGGAGGAGGGGGCGGAGGCAAAGGAGGAGGGAGGCGAAGGAGGAGGAAGGAGGGATGGATGGATGGAGCTGCCCCCGACTGGGCCGGCAGGGAAGGGTCACATGGAGGGGAGGGATGGAGCGGGATAACGAGACGGAGGAGGGAGGAAGTGGACAGAGGATGATACCGCGCCCTCGGCCCCCGCGTCGCCTGTCTTGAGCATGCTCACCTTCGCCGGCTGCAGACTCCTGAACCTGGGCCAGAAGGGAGCATGGGACCATGGGACAGGAAAGAGGGTATGCTCGTCCACCTCCCCTCCTCCAACCCTCTCCTCTTTACAGAAACTTGCCCCTTGTCGCACCACTGGATGTGTCCGTAGGCCCGTTCGGGCGATTCGCTTGAGACTTCCGACTTGCGATCCAAGAGATACCGCACATACGAAGATCGAGGCCACTTCGTTGTCGAAATGTGGTCTTCGCCTTAGCGCCGTGCACACTCGCCATTAAAACATCCGAGAGCTACGCCGATGGAGGGCTGGTGGGTTTCAACGTGCGACTCTCGCCCTAGCACCGCGCATATTCGTCTTAAAGTTTCTACCAGCTACCAAGATGGAGGCCGATCAGTTTTCGTTTTCGAACTGCTGCTCTCGCTTGAGGCTTGCTCATATTCGCCTGACGCTCCAAATCGTGCCGCAGAGACACGCATGCAACACGGACAGAGGGTGGCTCCGTTTCCCACCGGGGCTCTCGCTCCGGAGAGCTCCGCGCAGCTGATGACCGTGACTCCGACCGTGCGCACCGCGTGCACGGATGGAGGCCAGGCCATCCGCAAGCGAGGGCGAGGCTACCGTTAAGTCGGGCCTGTCCCCCTACAGGGGGATTTTGTACGAAAAATAAGAATTAGTCAAACAATGCGCAAATACTCAAACGAATAGTCAAAACATCGTCCCCTGACTATCTTTTACTATGTTTGAATCTTCCCCCTGCAGAGGGGCAGGTCCGACTTAAGGCTACCCCTGGACAGTGTCTCGAACCGGAGCATCCCTGCCCCTCGGCGGTGCCATGCTGGGAGGCCTGGAAATGGGCACCAACACCAATTCGGGGTTTGCCTCCACAGGGGGAAGAGGATCCTAGATTTCGGTGTTGGTGGTAAGATTTCGACCACCTTGAGGCCAGAATCTTACCACCATCACCGAGATCGGGATCTTCTTCCCTCGGTGGAGGCACGCCACCGACATCGGTGTTGGTGTCTGCCTCCAGGCCTGCGATCATGCTGGGAGGACGGAGGGCGGACGCCGCACACACGGGGAGGGGGGGTGCTGCGTGCGGCAGGTCCACTGGGGGCGCTCATCGCTCCATGGGGGGGGGGGGCGGCGGGCGCCCCTCGCAGCGGAGAGGGATGCCTCCCCTCCCTCCTCCTCCTCCTCCTAATCCTCCTCCTCCTCCTCCTCCTCCCTCCTCCTCCTCCCTCCTCCTCCTCCTCCTCCTCCTCCTCCTCCTCCTCCTCCTCCTCCTCCTCCTCCTCCTCCTCCTCGGCGCCCCTCGCAGCGGAGAGGGATGCTCGCCGTGCCTTCTTGGTGAGGGGAGGGTTCGGGCTAGACGCTGCACTGCAGCGTCGCGGATGCATCCTGGATTCCCTCTGGTCTTTCCTCCTCCCCCTCCTCCTCCTGCTTCTCCTCCTCCTCCTCTTCCTCCTCCTCCTCCCGTTCCTCCCTCATGCTCCTCCTCCTCCTCCTCCTCCTCCTCATCCCTCTCCTCCTGATCTCTCGCCCCTGCCCCCACCTCCTCACAACGTCTCATATCCTCCTCCTGCCCCCTCTTCTCGACCTGCTGCTCATTGCGCCTCCTCCCCCGACCTCCGCCTTCTCTCCTGCTGCCCCTCCCTCTCTCCCTTTCTCCTCGCCCTCTTCCTCCTTCTCTCCTCATCCCTCCGCTTCGCCATTCCCCTCCTCCTCCTCCTCCTCCTCCTCCTCCTCTTCCTCCTCCTCCTCCTCCTCCTCCTCCGCATGTGGGGCGAGGGCAGGAAGGGGAGAGGGACGGAACGAGCAGGGATCGAGGAATCGGAGTCGAGCTCTGGGGGCGCTAGGTTCGTGAGGTGCCTGGGCAGATCCTGGCCAGCCTGCCAGTTGACAGCTTCAGTTTCAAGCCTGTCTTCGCCCCGGGGCCGGGGACCAGGGACGGAGAGGGAGTGCCAGGGAGGGGCGGCGGAGGGGGAGTGCCATGGGGAGGGGAGGCAGGCCGAGCAAGACCGAGAGAGAGAGCTCGAGGGTCAGGGGCCCCCGACAAAAAAGGACTGGGCCACGCGCCCTCGCCAGGGCGAGCTGCGCCCCGGGTCACGGGGAAGGACATCTTACGCCAAGAACGTGGGCCTCGCACCAGGCACTCTCGTGACGAGTAGCCCGGGTCCACAGACGCGAACGTTCCACGAAGAAGAGAAGCTCCAAGACAGCGCCCAGGGTCCAGTCCAGACTCCGGGTTGTCTCAAGCGGAATCTGGAGTCCATGGAATCTGCTGCTTTTCTTGAAACTTCTGATGGGTGTGCCATGCTCTTCCCCCCCCCCCGTGTCCCATCCTGCTCCTCTTCCCAATGTCTTCGCTTAACCCCCAGTCGCCAGTCGCCCACCATCGGTCTTTTCCACCCTGTTGCTCCTCCAATGTGGATCCTACATCCTCGTCCTCCATACCTCGTCCCCCGCTCTCCCCTTCGTCCGTCTCTTTCTCTTTCTGAACCTGTGCCTCCTCCTCCTCCTCCTCCTCCTCCTCATCATCATCATCATCATCATCATCATCATCACCGTCATCATTATCTCCTCAGTCGCATACGGGAGCTTCAGAAACGCTGGTGATGCAAATGCTTGCGATAATGCATCCAGGTTTGTCCTCGGCAACTGCGCGCTAGTCCTCATGGACTTTCTAGCACAGGTGCGATCCGAGCAGTCAGCAGCAGCCCCAGTGCACACCGACTGCCCACAAAAGCAGGATGACCCCTACGCTTAAACAACCTTTGCATGAAAGATAGGGGTCCAAAAGAACACGGATCCCGAATCGATCCACCGTGCTCTGGCTCCCAGGGCCCTTCCCGGGGCCTGTCCCGGGCAGACCGTCGAAAAAGGCTTCAGAGAATCCTGTCGGCTCCCCCAGGCACAAGCTTTTTCATCCTGAGTCGTTTTCCGACGGCCACATGGCCTAGGAGCGGCGCCAAGAGTCTGAAAAATACGAAACACCTCAGGAGCCGTGTTTCCCTCAGGAGGAGCGGTGCAGGCTGGCGCAACGCCGCCACTCCGCGTCGTAGCGGTCTAGTCCCCGAGCGCCGAGGCTCCATGCATGCGCGGAGGCGCCAGCCCAGCTCAGAGTCATGGAACGTGCAGAGAGCTCCCCCCATCCCTCTCGTGAGGCAGAGTCAGAGTGAGGGGGCCGATTGGTCTTGCACTGGCCATGGGTGCGTGGCTGAAGTGGAGAGCCGCTGCTGCGGACTCTTGCTGTCGTGCCGTTGTCGTCATCGCCCCGCGAGCCGCCCGCACCCCGCCTGCCACCCGCGACTGGACCGCGACCCGCCCGCGAGTCCCCCGCGACCCGCCCACACTGCTGTTCAAAAAGCGGCGCCTGCGGCGGTCTGTTTTGCATTGGCCTCAGGGGGCAATGCGCGCTCCCCCAACCCACACCACACCCCTGCGCGACGGGAGCACTACTTTGTGGCGCCCCCCCCGCGCGACGCGCCAGGGGCCCGTGCCCGTCCGGGACCCGTGCGCACACGACAGGTGCCCCCCCCCCTCATTCTTCTCCGCGCTTGTGGGGCTCTACCCCTGCGCCTCGGGATTCGCGAAGCACGATTGTCTCCAGGCCCTTGCGCCGTCCCCTGAAGAAGAAGAAACAACATAAGGAGAATCATAGGAAGAAGCATCCGAGTAATAATGAAGGGGAATTGGGACACACAAGTAAATACACACAAATAAAAGGATTCCCCTCATATTTTCCAATATTTTCTGGGTTGTTGTCTTCCCCCCCACTTCCCATATTTTCCATATTTCCTGGGGGATCGACGACTGATTGTGTCTGTGTGTTTTCCCTCCTGAAGTAAGAAGAGCAACTCTTTGGCCCGGCGCGCGAAGCGCCGATTCCTTAGGGACTCAGTGCCCCTGCGGAGGACTTGCACAACTCCACCGCCACCTCACCGGTGAATGCTGGTGCAGGGGGGCCCAGGCCTCCCGATGCTCAGAGCACGAACCTGGCGGGGATCGCTC